TATCTTTACTTTTTCTCCTCTTCTGATATAGTTCTTGCAGTCTCACAATGATGTCTTTATATTGGTGTCCAATGGTACACAAGTGGCACTGAAGGCAGCCCCGCCAAGCCCTGTGACTGAGCCCCCTAGTCCATCAGAACAGACCACTAACTCTGATCCAGCTCCAGACCCGGGAGCTGCTGAACAACAGCAAGGACCAGACCAGAAGCCAGAGCCAGAACAAGAGGTAATGGACTACGGAACAGTCTGGCTTTAGCAGGGATTACTTTGATGCCTGTTTCTCATGATGTATCTTCCTGTCTGTCAGCAGGGTAACCACTGGTTTGATTTGAATGATTCCACGGTGACCTCCATCAGGGAGTCTGACATAGAGAAGCAGTTCCAGGGAAAAGAGAGCGCATACATGCTGTTCTACAGAAAAACACAGTTGTGCAGGCCCAGTGAAGGTAACAGACACCATGCTTTCTATTTACTAGTTGTTTGACTAAGATATGGAATTAGGGATGAATAACAGAAAAAAATAAACTGAGATCATGCTGAATAAAAGGTCTATTAATTATTGATTTCATTTTGATAATTACTTTTCATTTATCAAGTAAATAGAAGATGAATTACTAAGATGACAAACACACACGTATAATATATGTTTACAAAATACAATACAATGTTTTAACATTTTCAGCTCTGAACAATCCCCAATAAAGCTCCTTCTCACTTCATCAAGATGGTCGAGGAGGAGAATATCAAGCTGCAACAGATGCGGTACAGAAACACACATATTCATTGATTATTACACTTTTGTTTTTTAATAGGTTATGACTGACAATTCATCCACAACCTAATGACTCTAATGCTTTAGTGGTATCTAAAACTCCAATATAAGTGAATACAAGTATCAGCACAGCACTTGCAAAAAACTGAAGGTTTATGTAAATTAAAGAATTTTTGATATGAATCATTACTCAAAACATGTTTCTATTACAGCGAGAAGTTTGAAGCCACCAATAACACAGTGGAGCTGCGTCTGCACCTGGCACCTTGTTATAGGTTAGAAAATGGATCCCTGCAGCAGGGAAGTGCTTGTTACGTTGTATAGTATTTGGGATTTTGGCTTTATAGACGTTGCTGCTTTAACTGACTGATAAGACGTCTGTGTTTATGTATAAAGCCAGGAACAATTTATTACCTGGTGGAATTCAAAAACTATTTAATGAAAGGGAAGGGGGATACAATTTAAGGGGTCAGTTAAATTTTAAAATTCATGCTATACGTACAAACAAAAAAAGATTTTGTATTTCCATAAGTGGGGTAAAACTATGGAATAATTTAAGTGTGGACATAAAAAATAGTAATAGAATTGATGAGTTTAAACATAAATATAAAGGTATGTGTCAATCAAGATATATGCAAGAACAGGTTTAATGATTAACCAGATGGAACATTGTGGGTGTGGTGTATGAATGTTAATACTCTGTAATAATTCTTTAGTATATTACTTGTGTGGTGTAGAAGATAATTATCTATGAATGTAATTATGTAGAATGTTAACACTGTAATAATTCTGTAGTATATTAATTGTGTGGTGTGTGGAGGATAATTATTTATGTAGAGATACTGCTTTGGACTTAAAAGTTGTAAGATGATGTCATGGGGTAGGACTGGATAAGTCTGACTTCTTCCTACTCCATTCAAGCATGTACTAGGTATAAGTAAACTGATATTGGATTATTATTGTTGGATATGTGTGAAATTACATGTGTTGACATATGAACTGTTTTACATGCTTGAATGAATAAATCAAATCAACTCAAATGTAGAGGCTTGGACTTTGAGGATAAGGCCAGTGACTTTCTGTTTTTATTTTACACTAATCTCATCCAGAGACTAATTAATTTTTTCCTCACCTTAATGTGTATAAATCAAGAGTCTGGTTTAGTTTATTCCGCTTATGTTGTAGATCTTCATTGTTGTCCAAAAACAATGTAGAAAACACCAGCCTGCAACATCCTGTGTGTGTGTGTGTGTGTGTGTGTGCGTCCATGCATTTCACATCATGCAAGTTCACTGCGCACACATGCAGAAATTGGAAACATTCACGCAAACCTTTACTCATGCTGTCTCGCTCACTCACCTATACACAAACACTGGATTTGCTGGATCAACACTATTTTCTTGTCCACTAAACGTGGGCCTCTGAAACACACACATCCAGGTCGCCTCGGGGCCAAGCTTGATTTTGTTCATTAGAGTTTGAGCTTTAGCTCGGCTCTGTCACTGTGGAGGTCAGCTAGAAGGGACAAGAGATCATCAACACACACACACACACACACACACAAAGAAGGCTGACTTTTTAACCTTTTAACTTGAGATGCAGGTCTGAAAGCAGCCTGGAGTGCTGAATCAAACATTTGTTCCTTCCTGGAACTCAGTCTCACCTCTTGATGTTTCTGACAAATGGCAGCCAAACAGACTGAAATGCAAATAAGACAGACGTATGGCCAGAAGTATGCAGACAGACATGTCACCGCTGCTTTTCCATTGTGTGGGCCCCTTACTGTAGTTAGCTCAGATTTAATGCTACAGCCTTAAATTATATTTTGGACTGCAGCCTGTATCCAGCTCTGTACCGATGGCCGGGGAAGGCCCTTCCTGCTTCTACATGGTAACACCAAAGTGCACGGTCAGGTCCATGAAGAATTGATTTTCAGTTCTCTGTGGAAGATCTTGACTGGCCTGCACAGAGTCCTGACCTCAACTTCGACCAGAGCCTCTGAGATAAATTGGTTTGTCGACTGCAACCAGGCCTTATCACCCAACATCAGTACTGGACCTCACTAATGTTCTTGTGGCTGAATGGAAGCAAATCCCTGCTCTCAGATCCTGCTTGATGGGCTTCCCAGAAGAGTTATAGCAGCAAATTAACGCGTCTGTCTGTGGAATCACATATTCACCTGTCACATACAGCTTAGCCTGGATAAAGTGTGTTTGTGTGTGTGTCTTGGTTTCTCTATTCCACTTTTTTCTTCTACTCTGATTTGCAAAAATTGCATTGTTTATGGTTACATTGCTTTACATTACACTTTTGCATGGATGATGTATGATTAATTTGAGGATTATTGACGCATTTCGAACTGTGTTCAGCACATACATTTACTTTTGTTTTGTGCTTTGGTTGTAGTTTCTGCTCTTTATTCTTCTCTTATGGTTCAGAGATGTACTAGGAGGTTTTATCGAACTGCTGCTGTTTTAGTTGCATTTCAAACTCTCTAGGGAATTTCCAAGTCATGTTTGTCAGAACGTGTCTCAAATCAAGTCTCAGGTCCTCTCTTTCTCTCTTGTTTTTAACGAAGCCATTTCTATTTCCCCATCACAGGACAACAAACTGTAGTAATGGCACGGACCACAAAGAATGGGGAACTGACATAAATCTAGACAGAAATGAAATAGAAGAATACACACGTAAATTGTGAGCATTGCTTGTGCGCCCAGGAACTTAAGGGGTGAAGGTCCATCACGTCCTGTTGAATGTTGGGACGGGGACGGCGTTTTGGGAGGAGGCGCTGTGTATTTACACGGTGTTTTGGGAGGAGGCGCTGTGTATTTACCTGCATATTGTCTTGTTTTGTTTGGCTAAAAAGTGCCTTAAATTGTTTAGATCTCACATCACTGACTGCGGTAATCCAGAATGGATAACCTTAGAACGTAGCTAGCTCATAGTGGATGTAACTAGTGTATATCTCTATAATGAATAATCGGCGTGACCCCCCCCCCCCCAAAATGGCACATTTACTTAAAACTCAACATGACGCCCTCTTTACTTTCTCTATTTGTAACAGATTCACCATCACTAAAGCTCAGTGCTGTTTTGTCTCCTGAGATAAAGAATAGATTTCTTTTTATAGAGAAACTTTTGTTACAATAATAAACCATGAATTGTTCCATGTCATCTCTGCTGACTCATCTGTCAGATCTCGCTCCCACTGCTGTATTATCAGTAGTTTAGATGAGTCATTCACTCATCTACACGACTCTCATAGCTTTCTATAAATGTCAGGTTTACAGTCCAGTATATCTGAATGCCTGGCAGACATGAGGTGGTTTAAGCCGTAAGCCCCTGGTGTTTGGCAGCAGCCTGTGAAGACATTACCTAAGGTCTTCATCTAGGTCTTTGGGTTCCTCACCGGAGATTGGTTGTCATGTCAGCCAGCCCATAAACATGCAGCAGCTTGTCGCAGGCCTGTTAGATGCATCAGGAAGTTTTTAGTCATTAGCACAAGTCTCAGATGTCAGCGAGGTGGGTTGCAGCTGTCCTTCAGTACAGTAGCTGTCTTTTGTGACTAACACCAGTTATCTGTTCTCTTTTATCTTCCCCAGATCCATCCAGTACCTCCCTCCCAGTCATCCATTTGTCAGCCGCTTCCTTCGCCCGTCTCTCCAGCATGTCGCTGAAGGTCCAGACCAGTAATGTGACCAACAAGACAGACCCAAAGTCTATCAACTCCAGGGTGTTCATCGGCAACCTGAATACAGCCGTGGTGAAGAAGTCAGATGTGGAGAGCATCTTCTCCAAATACGGCCGGGTGCTGGGCTGCTCTGTGCACAAGGGCTATGCCTTCGTCCAGTACGCCAGTGAAAGGCACGCCAGGGGGGCAGTGATCGGAGAGAACGGCAGGGTGTTGGCTGGTCAAACGCTGGGTAAGTCTTTGTGATCCGGCATGAATTATAGCTGTACTTAGAAAGCAGGAAAGAAAGGTGTGATGGCCAAAGTGGCTGCGGAGGTTAACTGTGGCCAGAGCTGCTGCCGCCATCGGTGAGTGAGTGAGTTGGCGCCACAGATGGCTGCCTCGGTTCTGTCCCAGAGACAAATTCCTTGTGTGTGTAACATACCTGGTCAAATGAAAGTGATTAAATTAAATAAAGCATTTGTTAAATTACATAAAAATTGTAGGGAAGTGTGATCAACTGCTCAAGACGCCCCTTGTTTGCTGCCTATACAATACACAGCACCATTACACCCTTGTTTCCCTTCAGTGTTCACATATGTTTTTTTTGCCTCCCACCTTTCCTCTGTATTACTGTGCAGTAAAATATCAGAGGGGAAATACAAGTTGAGCAGAGTGCACCTTTAAGCTGCTGGAGTGCCCAATCCCCCGGTGGAGCAGTAAGAGGCGAGCTGTCAGCAAGCTGGTGTGAAGAACTCATCTGGTTAATGTTCGCTCACTGCAGAGCTGCAAGCACATTTCTTTAATAGTCTCTCTCAGCGCTCTGTGTGAGAGAACCAGAAAATATACAGTATGGTGGTATCAAACATTTCTGTTTTTGTTTGCCATCTTCATTGTGAAGGCAGTTTAGCCGGTCCTCACGACTTCAGAAGGCTGTTTGAGGGCGAAGACTCGGTGTTACAGTCGGGGTTAGGCGTTTAGCTGTGATGCATAAAGTTAGAGTGAAGAGACAAGCATGCATGAGTGTGTGTGTTTTGGGTTTGTACACTCATCAACACACATACACAGTAATATAGGGTACACTTACCAGAAGGCGTCATCAGGGTGTGTGTGTGTGTGTGTATGTGTGTATAATGCAGGATGGAGCTGTGACAGCTAAGGTGTGGTTAAGTGATGCTCTCTGTCCCACTGTAGCTTTTGTGTGAGTATGAGTGCTGCCATCTACAGTGAAACCTGTCTTCTTTTTCTGCACCACTTAACTACTCAGCTCTTTTCTCTCCTGTCATGGCCCTCTACCAGCCTCTCTCCATTTTCAGCCCACTCCGCGCTGTACAGAGGCTTTATTATGAGACACTTTTAACCCCTTTTAACACACACTGTAGTCACTGGCTCGGTGTTTAGGTTGGCTGGCAAAACGCGACTCAAACAGTAAATGGAATATGATAATGAAGACAGGGTTCCCATAAACTGCTTCACTTACTGAAACCCAAGGAACAGAGCAGTCATAAAAACTGGAGATGAAGTGTAAAACATCATGAATGATCAGGCATTAAGCTTGATGACTATGGGAAGACCTATCACTGGAATGTCGCTGAGGAGCAGCAGCACACGTTACAGCCTGTGCATTAGTTTCTGCCTGGTCAAACCAGAAAGCGACCTGTGAAATTGATAGATGCGCCTGCAGCTGCACAGACTGAGACGTTGCTCCCATCCACAACCCTGAGAAGTGGGAGGAAGGTGCTGAGGATGCTGCAGCAGCCCCTGCCCTCAGGTTGCTGAGGTGAATTCTGATTATCACTGTCTTGTTGCAGCCCACTCTCCTGGTCCCTGTCACCTACAATAGTCTTTGTTCTAATTGATGTGAGCAGTGCAAGCTTTCCACATGGTTTCCTGTAATGCTTTGTATAGTTTCCTGTATTTGTCTGTAGGCCTGTTGATCTGCTGTGACAGGACGGTTTGGACTGGATTCAGACAGCACGTTAAGCACGAACAAAACTAACGGCAAATCCAGCTGTCAACCAACAGCAGCACTCAAAGCGGTTTTGTAATGAGTGATGACTCATGTTGTCACTGTGGGCGTAGTTATCCAGAGTTCTTCTCAACTATGCCGGTTTATGAATGTACAGTACTCAGTCATGGAGATGTGAACGTCTGCTGAACAGAAACCTGGCTGTTACTGTGTAGTTTTAACTACAAATGCATTGCATGAATAAATAGGTTTAGCAAGCAAATCAAATATAGGAATAATAATTCTATAGTTCAGCAGCTTCTCATAACATTTAGATGAAAACACTGAATCTATCTAATCTCTACAACACACATGTGCTTTTGCAGATTGTTTGAAACACATGTCAGAGGCAAACTGAAGAATTAGAAAGCATAATAAAACTGTGCCATCACATTGTTTCTTGTTACATTATGGGACGCGTTTCTAAAATTTATTTTTTACCCAGTATAGATTTGTAGAAAGTCTTGGATTTTTGCTTCAGGTGGAAACAAAGACAGAGTCTGAGATAATAATAATAGGAGCTGAGAGGACAATTGATTCACAAACTGCTTAGCAAACCTAACAAGAGCTAACGGTTTCCAATTTCTTGATCAGTATGAAGTGTTTCTGGACAGACAGGAACGACTTACTGCTCAGAGACACTGGAGGACTTGGCACAGTATGGTATGTTTGTGTGTGCTGCGTTCAGGGACCTGCCTTTTTACTAACAAGACCCTGCAGGGGACAGAGAGAACTCACCGAGGCATATGGAGCAGCAGGTGTGTGTGTGTGTGTGTGTGTGTGTGTGTGTGTGTACTATTTTTTCCCTGGGTCATAAAGGGGAGGGTCAGTAACAGCTTTGGTTGAATGATGGTGGGTGTGTGTGCGCGAACCACTGGACTCCATCCATTTCCACACCTGGCTGTGTGCTTGGAGTTCTGGATCACTGCCTCGGAGACACACACTGTTCCCTTCACGGTGGAGTTAACCGGCTTGAATCTTCAGCCTCTGGCTGCTGAAAACTCACTTTCCATCTAATCCTTCATCCATTTCAAACATCCCACACTTGCTTTGAACATGAATTTGATATAATTTTTTAATTTATGTAATGTAAAGTGCATAATTATAGTGTTTTAAAAAAATGAAACTCAATTTATAGTTTACCATGACTGTAAACATCTGTATCCAAGAGCTATGCAGCCTGGGCTGTGTGGACATCATATGCACCGTAGCCACAGCAGCACTGTGGCTCGGTGTTTGCACCCCCTCCTGTGTTCACATCTGCCGGCAGACTCTTCCTTTTCTGTGCAGAGCCTGAACTGTCTCTCCCTGGCTGTGTGGGCCTCTACAGGTCATGCAGGGCGGGTGAACTGGAAACTCAGGATAAACCGGTGAGCTGTCCAGAATGTCCTCTGCCTCTCATCCAGTGCATGCTGGGGATAGGCCCCTAGAGACCCTGGGCAGGACAAGGGCTTTAGAGAATGGATGGATGATTCGTAGGTACACGGTGGTTTCCTGCACAGAGCAGCCATTAACCACCCACTGAAGCTGGGTGGAAACGCAGCACAAAAGGAGCCACAACAGCCAGTTGGACAAAGTAGCATTCGGCTACTGTTTTCTGATTCATGGCACATGACCTTGTCTTCACAGTTTTAACCAAACGGGCTCATACGTCTCCAGTTTACATTATCAACATGGGAACGCAGTCGTATTGTAAATTGATCTGTAAATATAGACAGAATTTGGAATAAAAGAATAAAACATCAGTTGCCCCCTGCATAACATCATACAAGAAAACAATGCAAATTAGATTTTTTAGCATCTACCCTTTGTACTAAACTACTGCTATGATACTGGATCAAACCGTCCTCACTGTGCTAATGGTCTGTATCTGTGATCATACACTTTTTCACCCCTTGGACAGAAACATTTCCTTTACAGTACCTACTATTAAAACAGCACAGTTTAATTTTATGTGAAAGTTTTTTCTCAGATGTCTTATTTTGAGGTGGTCGGTGACGTAACAACAACTTGAATGAAGATTCATCTCAGTCTAACTCTGTTTAATTACCAGTTCAGCCCTGAAGTTAATGTGCAATGTTTATCTGGTGCTGCAGCTTCAATGTGAGTAACAAACATGTTTCAACTCTGCAAATGAGTCAGGAAAGGCACAAACACTGTTATCTATGGTGGGAGTGCACTGACATCAGGCGCTGAGATGTTTTAATGTAGCTCTACAGCCTCCTCTAGTGGAGATCATGAGGTAACACAGCGAGCAGATTCAGAACTAGATGACAGTAGCGAAAATGAAAACAGCTTTCTGAGGCACTGAATCAGTAGGGGACGGCTGAAAATGGTCCACTGCTCCAAAGCATTTGTGAAAAATGGTGTCACACTCTTAAAACTGCATTTGTATGAGTGAAGTGAAATCAGACCATGATTAAACCGTTAGAACAAGACTGGTCTTAATGTTTTTGTTATCTTCCTCAGTACATCTTGTATTATGAAAAAAAAAAAAAACTACTACGGCAGAATGAAAAACAGTCAAGGATTTTTTAGTCTGGTAATAGAGGCATTAAACATCTGCCTCCTTTGAAAAGTCAGTGCTGTGATGAGTTGTCTGCTTCAAGCGTAACAGTTTTTCTGCGGTACTGTATGTTGCCTCCTGTCTTTTACCCTGTTCTTCTTCTTTTGTCTTTTAAAAAAGTTTGGGGTGCTGACTGTATTAAAGATTGAAGGGTTTTCTAGGTTGCAGGAGCCTTAGATTCTGATACACATCTATTTTATGAGGTGGCTCATTTTTATAGTTGATTTTCTTTCTAACAACCTGAATAGAAATCCTAATTCTCCCCTTGTTCAGATATCAACATGGCAGGGGAGCCGAAGCCCAACAGACCCAAAGGCCTGAAGCGCTCAGCAGCGTCTCTCTACAGGTACACATCCACTGTTATTGATTTGTTTGATCGATCAGTGTGTCGCTCATATTTCTGAGCAGATATTTTCAGTGTATTTTAGCACAAATCCTTTTAGAAAGTAGTTTGACCAGAAAAACCAATGCAGGCACTTATGTGGGACTGAGATCAACTTTAATTGAGGAGGGCTCAGGTTTTAAAGCTACCTGCCTGGATAACAACACCCCGATGAAGGTGGATGCTGAGACCTGTAGGTGTTTTATGGACAACAGCACCCTGAAGAAGTCTGGGCTTCTATTTTTAACCTCTTAGTCCTTGTCCATTAAATTCTAGCTTGTCTAACTTTTATGTGACTATTTAGCCTTGAAGTTTTTTTATTGTATGAGGAGCACTTCTGATCTTTCTTTACATATGTCACCATATGAAAGGTGCTTTCTTCTTTTACTATGTTTTCATTTAATTTTTATGATAGCAATTAGTTTTCCTTGTTTTGAATAGGTGTGGACGTCATACCACCTGAAGCAGCTGAGACTTTTACATGCCTTGTTCTGCAGTAGTTGAATATTGTCTGAGATGTTTTCATGCCTGACTACACATAAGAATATTGCATTAATCCAGGAGGCAGAAAAGCATGAAAACAAGCTGAGAGCATCACATGTATTTGTAGGTGTTAAACAGCTATTTACATGTCCTACCGTTGGAGCTGTGTTCACTGTCCTTTAGCTCCGGTTTGTTCTCCACCAACTGTGCAGTAAAATAACTCTTTAGCTGCTACGTGCACCAACTACTAACTTTGTCGGCTGTTTGGTGATGAGCAGGGGATGCACAGTGACACAGTGCTGAAACAGATGTCTGATGCTGCTGGAAACAGGGTTGGTAACCGCAGTGCAGCGGAACTAAACTGGCTGTAAAACCAAACTGTGAACTGCAAGTATCTTAAAATCAATGGTTGTAGATTCAGTGTGTTCCTCCAACCCATAGAGATCCAGAGCTGGTTGTAGATTCAGTGTGTTCCTCCAAATTCTAAGACTAGTTCTACATTCTTGTTTGAGTCTCTGTGCACTAGGACGTTTGTCAGTAAGCCTTAAATACATTGCACTCAAGAATTCAGTTTGTGCTGCCAGGTTCTCTGTTGCTCTTGTTCTGTCTCTTAGATGAACTATGCTGTAGTTTGTAATTATTGCATGTTTTGTACATTTTAATTTTTTCATTTGGATGGATGGAAACCTCAAATCGTTTGTTCCATGTACATTTTACTGTAAACGTGGTTTCATGCTTGTGTTATGAAAAGCTTTACAGCCCATTTGTTTTGTATGGTCACTGTGTCCTGTTGTGCTTCCTCCCCAGTGGCTATGAGTTTGACTATGACTACTACAGAGAAGACTTCTATGACAGGTAAGAGGACAGGCAGCATTTCAGATTCTTCAGCCGGCAGAGCTGTGGTCAGGGTTGAACACGTGGACTCTGGGCTCTGCTGTTCACAGCTACCAGCAGAAGCTTAATCATGTCAGACTATTAAAATGTCAGTTCGTCAAGGGTTAATTTATTAAAGTATTAACTTTTTTTTATAATCCTAACAATTGCTCAATTATAACTCAACAATTTGCAGAGTAGTCTAAATTCTAAATGTTGATGGTGAGTAAGAGAAGTGCAACACAAATATAAGGTGAGAATATGACGGCAACACTTGATCAGATTTGATGCTAACACAACAGGAATGCTAACACTTTTATTCAACATAAGATCTTCAGCAAAACCTTTCAACCAAGAGATTATCCTCCTCAGGGGACAGTTTTACCCAAAGAACCTGCCTCTGGACAAATTCATTCTGAGGAACATCTGGTCAATTTGCATAGACCTCTGCAGTCAGGTCAGTGTGGTAACTGTTACTCTGCTGACAAGAGGAGCCATCACTGGTGTGGGGGTAAAGAGAAAAGGCTGCATGTGTAGTCCAGGTGCTCCACATAGATCAAGCTAATCTAAGCAAGTCGTCTGATTTTCACATGAGTTCAGGGCTTTGAAACAAAAACTTTACTTTGGTAATGTAGAAAAATACACAGGCATCAGTGGGAGGATTTTTTGTCTTTTAGAAGTGTAGGCAGAACAGAAAGTCACGGACAGCTGAGATAAATCAGTGACGATGCATCAGAGTATCCCAGATGTACGTCTCCCATCAAAGGACAGGATCTTTACGATCCCCCTGAAAAAAATAATAAAACTATCTGGGGTGACTGTCATTATTTGTAGATGTTTTGAAATTCAATAGGTATTGTGTTTCACAAAGGATGGTCACGCTTTTGTGAGAACAACTCACCCAAAGCCTTTTCTGACTCCTGTCAAAACACCTAAAGCTTTGTCTGCTGTGAAATGAAATGCTCTGTGCAGTGAAGAAGGTTTCAAGGTTTCTCCATCTCCCATTCCGTTACTGCAGTTTTCTGTTTATTCTCTAAATTCAGCCGCTATTCTTTGAATGTACTTACTGAGAACAAAGAAGGAAACGACCTGAACTGGCTCTTTTCACTGTGAAGCAGCGGCTACGCTCCTTCCAGATGTCTTTTCATTCCACTGGTCAGGGTCAGCTGAGCTACCCCGCAAAAAGAAACAGGACAAAACAGGATTCAACCCAGCGACCCTGTTCATCCATCCTCTAACTGTTCATCCATCCCACCAAATCAGCCCTTATAAAAAAGTTAGAGAAATCCTAGATCCTACAGGTTTTGAGCCAGATGACATTAATAGCAGCCATTACACCTCAGTACCTGTCAAGCACGGGAACTGTGTGGTGGTTTTTCAGTTTATCTCCAGCGGTGAGGTCAAAAAATCTGACATCTTGTCTCGTGACCTGAGAAAGAAAGTATGAGTTGATGGCCAACAATGTGCATTACATTTTTATTGTTTACAAAGAGCTTCTTCCTGGTCTTAGATCTGCCTTAGGTCAAGATACAAACAGGCAGTGGTGGAAAGTAACTAAGTACATTTACTCAAGTACCGTACTTCAGTACAATTTTGAGGTATCTGTACTTGAGTAGTTTCATTTTCTATTGCTTCATACCTTGACTTCACCATGTTTTAGAGGCAAATAGGCAAATATCCACCACTGTTATTTTATACCTTTTAGTTCCTTTTCAGAACCAGATTAATACAGAAAACAAACTTTATAATTATGAGACCACATTGATGGTGGAGGCTTCACAAGCTGCCCAGCAGTAAGTCAAATTACTGGTTTATAAACTGGTTAAAACCTGCTCCTCCTTTACCAGCTGCAACATTAAATGTGATGTACACAGTATAATAACCTTTACTTTTGGTACTTCAAGTATATTTTCATAATACTTTTTGAATGCAGGGCTTTTACTTAAGTAAACGATCCGAGTACTTCGTCCACTGCAGACAGGGTGATGACAACGCAGCGGTGTGCTGACGCTAAACAATAAAATCTGTTCTAGAACATTCACACAAATCATAATGAAGTGTGGATAAAAACGCTGCTATGCAGACCAACATTAATGAGCTTTTGTGTGGGATGGTGACAGGCGCACACAATGTACCAAAAGGACATGAAATCAAATGTTGGTTCACAGTAAAACAGTTCTGAAAACAAAATAAATCATTAAAAAAAAGTTTTAATTTCCTGTGAAGTTTTCAAAATGGCTCACCAAAGTTTTATTGTCTGTTTCTGCAGTTAACAACAAAATGATATAATTGATTTCTTTTACACATACCAAATAGCACAGTGTATATACTAGTACCTAGTGTGTACTGTGAAAGAAAGATGGAAGTGGTCTTTCTCATGTCGTTCTTCCCATTCTGTTCAGTCAGGAAGTTTAATCTCATGTTCTTACTTTGCACCTTCAATATTTACTGTTATACTTGTCCTCTAAAAACTATACATACAGTATATAGTCAGATAATGTTTGATGGCAACATTTTTTTAAATGTTTTCCTTCCTACCTTGTTTCCAACCCTCTCCTTCTTTCTCACCTATTTTCTCCCTTCTCCTCTCTCCGATCTCTCTTCCACCCCACCTTCCTCTGCGTCTCCTCAGGTTGTTTGAGTACCGTGGCAGGGTGTCCTCAGTCCCCCGGGTGGTGCCGGTCAAACGCCCGCGGGTGGCGGTGCCTCTGGTACGACGGGTCAAATCCTTGCCAGTCAAACTGCTGGCGCGTAACGCCTCCGTCCTCCCCGCCAGCAACGGAAACAAACAGAGATGTGAGTTTCGCTTTGTCTCTGTATGATCCTCACATTCCAGTCGCATTAGATCCATCTGTGTTTCGCTGGGTTAAATGAATTTCACAAATCCTCACACACCCTCTCACTTCATTCAAATAGTCTTTCTGCTACACAGTAAAAATATTTTCATTTGTTTCCTAAGTTGTAATTTTATTTCTTAATCCTTCAGTGATAGTTGCAGTAAAGTACGCGTTTTATTTTCTAATTTTGTAAAACACAACAAATGTACAGTACATAAATTCATATAAGCTATTAAATAAGAGGCTGTGTATTTAAAATACTACTATAAAATAATAAAAACCAACTTGGAGACTTTCAAGCTGCTCTTGTCTACTGTCAAAACATTATTTTCTGCATAATACTGGATAAATAAACAAAAAGTAAATCAATCTTGCCTCCTTTTCAGACCTAGTTACCAAATGTGCAGTAAACACCTCCAAATGATGTTAATATTCCAATCTTCTCTACACACTGTGTGCATCTTATCATATATTCAAATACCAAATACTGGAAAAAAAATGGGACAGTGTACCTAATAATTAAACTTTATGCTTTACAGACTATGAAAATGGAAATGTACTGTAGTAGGAATAAACGCTGTGGTATCAGATTTACAATAAAACAGGAAACTAACTGTTGTGCTGTAATTAGCAATTACAGTAAATGTCGTTCAAATAAAGTTGGCAGTTTTAGGAAAAAACTAAACAGTCCCATTTTAAAATACTAAATCTTAACTGACTAGTGTATCACTACACTGAAATGAACTCATTTTACAAATAAATCAGGTGTCAAAGTAAAAATATGTAAGTAATTATGAGTAAATAAATTAAATACACAAATGAAAACTACGGCAATGTACTTTATCTGAAAATTCATTGCTACTAAAATCTAATTTCACTGCAGTTTTAAGGATGTGTTTTCTGTCAAACTGTTAAAGTGAAAGATTGTCTAAACTTCAGTGGATTTCTTTGCACTTCTAAAGTAAGATGTTATATTTAAGTTAATACAAATAAGCCACCATCATTCTGAGCAAACAAATCTAAGCACAGCTACAGTTAGAAATAGATAAAGTTGTCTAACACCTGCGATGCCAGACAGGCACCGTAATCCATCACTGTGATCCACGGCAGTGTGCCTCAGTACATCTGGAAAAAATATTTACGAGCCCTCAAACGATGGCGCCTGATGTTTTTAGAAATTCCCTCCGGTGTTGCTAGCATGATAAGTTTTCAGTTGGTATGCAATAAACATCAAAATCTAATCTGCCTGTTTCTATGGAACTGACCAGAAGGTCAACCTTCTCCCTTTGGGAAGAGTAGAACCTTTCCTGCCTGTGGTTTAATGGTTCAGGCAGCTGGTGCCGGTGCTGTCGAACCATTTCATGGCTCACATTAGACCTGAATCATCATCAGTGTTTCTAAACCCTGGTGCTCCTCAGGCTTGAGCCTTTGTTTTATAGAAATGTCCAGATAATGTGCCGTAATGCGCTCCCTGTAGAAATCAGAACACTAACATGTTTGTCTTTCTGTCTGCGTGCCTCTCTCTCTTCTCCTGTATATGTCTGTGTCTCTCGACCAGCAGTCAGAGGTACAGAGCTGCAGACAATCAAGTCAGAGCTGACTCAGATAAAAGCCAACATTGAAGCGTTGCTGGGCAGACTGGAGGAGATCACAGAAGACACACACATCACCAACACAGGTGACTCAATCATACACACACAAAATCTTAATGTTATGGGAACAAGTAGGAGCCTGTGTAAAAAAACGAAAAGGACACAGATTTATTTGTTTAATGAGCCAAAAATACATTTCTTCCTTTGCCTGGTCATTTTTAAAACCATTTATGTAAGTGTGTCCCATGGCAAACACACATATGTACATAAATAAAAACAGTAGCTCATAGCAACCAGGACGCTGGTATGGAAGCCAGAAGGTTATGAAACAGTGACACTAATACTGAAACAGAATATTAAAGTAATATCTGTAAAAGGTTTGGCACAATGTGAGATCAATGTACTGCAACTATATCATTTTAATTTAGTTTTTAACCAAGATGTTAGTATCGTAAAACTGAGGCAGGACACAGAATAAACATGTTCATATTTAACACAGAGTAAATCAGTTACAGGTCTCTGACTGTGTCGACTGTCGGGGAGAAACAGTGCTCTTATCCCCTTTTTTAGAGACGGTAGGAGTGTGTGTGGTTGTTTGTCTACAGCCCTGTGACAGACTGGCGACCTGTCCAGGGTGGACCCCAACTCTCGCCCAGTGTCAGCCCCCCCGTTACCCTGTTCAGGAGTAAGCGGTGTAGATGATGGATGGATGTTGTAAAAGGTCAGTGTGTGTGTGTACAACAGTAACAGGCCAGAATAATCCTTACTGTAGAAACACAAAGCCACAGAAAACAGTAAGAGAAGCATCCTGCACGGTGCCGAGCTGAGTTCAGCTCTGACGTGGTGTCAGCACCGGGATCTTTAGAAACGAAAATCTTACTTTTCTTCTCTGTAGTAGAAAAGTACTGAAATAGTACTTTCCCTCTGCCTCAAACTGGGTTTGCCCATTTAATGTGACAATTACCAAAACCTTTGCTATTACACCAAATAAGCCATATTTTCATATTGGCTATGCATGAACAAATATTCTATTATTTGCTTGCCACAGTCATAAAATGTGCAGCATATTATCCCATGTAGATTTCATTTATGTAGCCTCTAATGAACATGCTGCTATAAAACTCCAATAACAGAAATCCAGCGATACACCAATCAGAGATACAGAGCACAGGAAAATCTATTTCATTTTCCTTTGAGCCCTCAAACAGAAGTAATGTGTAATTTTCAGTAGATTTCTGAGCTTCTGTTGAAAATCATGTCCTTCATAAATTTAGGAAAACTCAACAAAATAAAACTATTTTACTTTTTTGATTTTTAGCAGAAACAAAAAGAATCCTGCCTGCAGGCTTCAGCTGTTCCCAAGTCCAAAATCACACCCTTTTAGTAAAAAAAATTCCCCTGTGTTCTCCCGTTTGAGTCTGTGCTGAGCTGTGGTGGATTTTATTTAGTCTAACCCGGCCTGCTGAAGCCTTGTACAGAACAAGGACAGTGGGTTTTGTCTAACATCGCCTCCAGTGCGATGAATCTTCTAATGGCCAGTATGAATGGGAGGAAGGACTGTGGTTAGATTTTAGTGTTCACATGGACACCTGAATATTGTTTGAAGACAGATTCCCACAATTGTAAACCTAAATGTCTAGTATTTTTTGGTGGCTAGCATCCAGTCCCACCTATAGTACCTGTATGTTGTTGTGATGATTCAAATCAATGCCTCTGATCACTCTTTCTTTTCCACTTATGCATATAGTAAAGAGATGTGGGTGTGAAAACAATGAAGCTCCTACTAATTAGAATTTATTTGGGAAGTTGTTTCCATGGTGACACTGACCCATCCATGTCGGTTTACACATTCCTTTCTGTTCTGGGCTTTTAATCTGTGTGTGTGTGTGTGTGTCCGTGCAGAGCTGAGGAAGGCGGAAGAGTGTAAAAGCGAGGAGGCGTGGCAGGAAGGAGAGGAGTCGAGTTCAGAGCTGGAGGATGAGGTGGAGCAAAGACAGAACAGTGAAGCTGAAGAGGAGGAAGAGGAGGAAGGAGAGCACACACAGGATGACGTCCATGACTGCATGGTGTGTGTGTATGTATATACAGTACGTGTGTGTGTGTCTGTCAAGATATTTCGATAATGTAACTGGAACAGCTGCCACAACCGCTGTCTGTCAAGACACATGTCACCCAAACAATTTGCTTATGCAACACTGGAAACCTGAAGCCTTTTAAAATGCAACATATGTTGGTGTTTAAAATGTAAGTTAGTCAGTGACAGCCCTGCGCGCTGAAGGCAACACAAGTCCTTTTTAACATTTCTAGCTGGTGTTGCTCTTTCCCCATCATCCTAGGTTAGGTCTGGAAAATGGCATTGCTTCTTATTGTGAGGCTCTCAAGATTTATGGTGGCAGGGCCTGACCCCCACCCCACCCCACTCCCTTTTGGGGCCAAAAAAATGGGTAAACATTCAACTTGTATACTGAGCTTCATTATGAATGCTCTTAATTGTGTATTATTGACTGATATCAGAGTTTGATTAAATGCCGTTACAAGGCCTCAGTGGCCTTTTGTATGTATTTGGATGTGTATATAGTTTTAGAATAAATAGGTGTTTCTTTTGATTTGAGCCCTTTGCGATGGTATTTGGATTCGTTGTTCTGGTGAGCTCTGCTATTAAATCTCCACAGTGTTTGACTTCAGGAGGCAGATAAACTGGTTAAAATGTTTGCAGGAAAAGAAAAATCTAAAGCCTTCCAGGGGTTTCTTAGTTTAAAGTGTATGAGAATAGTCAGAATTCCCACCTTCTCCTGTCCCATTACTGTACGTGTGCTAAGATTTTAATATTTGTTAATGATCTGGGGGCAGTTTCACTGACAGTTCTTCTGTTTTGTTCAGGAAAACAGTCGCCTATCATCAGAGAGGGACTCCATTCATCCATGAGAGGTAGGTGTTTGTTCATGAACAGGTTGAGAACTACAAGACCAGTTTGTCTTTCTGCTGTGTTCAAAGACGAGGTGACTTATCTCCGACTTTTCTCTAAGTCTTTATAGTGTTATGCTAAGAACACACTGCACTTGTGTGAAAGAAAATGTACCAGCCCTCTCGTAAATGTTTGCCTCTTAGTAAATCTGTCCTATGTGATGTGCAGCACAAAGCTATTGCATTGTGGCCACAGCTTCCTGATCCCCCAGTGTCTCTGGAGGGGCTTCATGCAAAGTGATGTCCAGTCTAGATTTACATCATACAGGTTTGAAATTATCTGGGGTCTGGAACAAAAACCTGCTGTCGATAGCAGGTTATCTGTTCTGAACATTCAACCTGATACTGTGTGTAAGGCGGTAAATGGAATGTAAATCAGCACCGACTTCTTCTAAGCTGAATATGACTTTAAAGTAGAAGAAGCTACCAAACAAATGCTTTGTGTCTGTCATAGTCAATCTTTTTAAAGTTTGATAAAGCAGCAGAGCAAACAGCAATCAGAAGGTAATTTTGTCACAGAAAACATTTGTGAGCAAACTTTGGTGTTGCAATCAAAGTACAATTCTTTGTAAGCAAAAAAGTTTTGGATGTCAAATATAAACCGACTGAAATCAGAACTAGTTTCACCTCTAAAAAATAATAATAATAATTTAACACTCTTTTCTTTGCTTGCAGTTGGTCCGTTTTGGGTGCTCTCCTAAAACCTTTGCTCTCAGTGCACAAGTTGTTTGTTTACAGATTCTTTGGTTGTGAATCAAAAACTTTTGTCAGGTTAGAATCTTTTGGTTGCGGTTCAGATTACAATGCAGAGGGAGGGGTGAGGTGTAATACTGTGCCTCTGTTGGCCAGTGGAGTGGCAGCTGTGATGAGCCAACAGCTTTGGCTGCAGGTCTCTGACCTTTAATGTTATTAATTCATTCAGATCCCAGAGACTGACCTGCACTGAAGCCACTCATGGAGGAAATTGTGTCCGGTTAGCTCATATAAAATAATACTATGTTAATCTTTAGTTACAAAACCACTTTGTTTATGTTCAGGCATCTAATTACCAGTCTAGGATCATCAGTTAATAACAGCTTGTTCCCATCTTGGCCAAGTCTACATTAATGTTCATTACAAGGAAAAGCACCATGGGCTCTTTAATAAACACCTGCAGCTAAACGTATTGTATTTGTCCCTGGATGATGCTACACAGCTTTTCTGCTCAGTCCCATTGATGTAACCTGAATGAATGAATAAGAGTAAAGGTCTGGGAACCTCCAGCCAAAGTCGCAGGCTCGTAACAGCTGCCACTCCACTGACCACTAAAGACGCAGTGTTATGCCTCACCCCTCCCTCTGTATTGTATTGTAATTGCAAAAGTTTTTGATTCACATCGAAAGACTTGGGATCTGCAAACAAAAAAACCTGTGCACCAGAACAAAGCTTGTAGGCGAGCAGCCAAAACGCACAAACTGCAACCTAAGAAAACGGCGTTAAATGATGTTTTTTGTTTTGAATGAAAGTAATTCTGATTTCAATCAGTTTATATTCAACATCCCAAAGTTTTTTTTTTTCCATTTCCTCAACAAGTGTTTTCTTTGACTACAGGATAAAGAAACAAAACTACCTCCATACAGAAATAGGCAGAAAATTGAAACATTCAAATGAAGCGTCTGGTTTTGATCAGATCATCCTAATGTTCATGTAGAAATACAGCTTTACTCCTCAGGCTGTGGGGCTCAAACTATACGAGCTTCTCTCCATGTCGTCATATTTAGCATCTTACAAATGTATCGATTATGAGGAGACACAGGAACAAAACGACAGCTTGTAAAATTTCCATTCACTTTTAAAATTTAGTGTTTTAAGTGATTATAACACAAATCTTACTTTGGAAGATGCATGTTTTGGTGTCGTCACCTGCAGGACTAAAACCAGATGTACAGACACGTTGCTGTTGAGATTTACAAACCGTGACATTATATCTTTTCTGAAAAAGGAGCATAGACATATTTTTGTAATAGAGTCCCTCAGCTTGTGTTTGATAAAGTTCACATATTAGGGAAAAGGGTGTGGGGGGGGCTCCGTGTTTATTAACCAGGAGGTGAACCTTCTATACCTGATCATCTAAGCTAAACAAAAAGGTAAATTGCTTTGGTGAGGATTTAGAGTGAATGAAGGAAGTTTTTCCAGAAGTCTGTACGAGTTCAGCTCATGAACTCCGTCCTGTTAGAAGGGGTCAGCTCTTTGTGTATTGCTCTCTGTAGTGCAGTAATCCACCTTTTAATCTCTGTGGTCGAGGCTGTTCTTCCTAATCATGGACCAGTCCTACTGCAACACAGAATATCACTCTTATTAACTCTTTTTTTTTATGTGAGACTCTAAATTAAAAGACTTTATGAAGCTGTTTAAGCAGTAAATGATGATCGACTTCTATTGGCATTTCATGTCCTCAGGTAAAGTTAAAAATGTAAAGAACAAGATGTATATAAAATAAAAATGGGCCATGTTAGAACCGATGACCAGTTTTCAAATTGTGAATCAGATGCACTGGTTACCAATAAACCATCAACAGTACATCAACATTGTTTAAGGATTAGTTAAAGCGTCCTCCAGCATTTCACTGCAGATCTTTTTGGTGAACAGTTGCACCAGGCTGTTACAGACTTGTAGTGGTTTTTACAGTTGCCTGCCAGTGGGGCTCAGCACAAACCTGAGCTTCTGGGCCTTTAACATCCCATTCCTCAAACTTTTAATTTGCAAAAGATATATTTCTATGCTTAAATTCTGCACTGGGTAATTTCTGGCCTGTATGTTCCAGGTAGCGTGGACCATGGGGGAAGAGACGGACAGAGAGAGGGAGACGTGGACAGAAAGAGAACTAGATAACAGCACAGGAAGCCCATCAAACAGCAGGGAGCCAGACACGCACACACACACACACAATACAAACACACAGCAGAGAGACAGACTTGACACTTTGTCAGAGCCGCAGGCAGATACTAAATCAGCAGGGCACTGCCAGAACACATCATAAACTGATGAGTTATACACATTAACACACACACAAGGGAGAAAAACCACAAAATGATGGAGACAGACTCGCTGCTGCGCCAGAACCACAGGGAGATAGTTAAACAGTAGGGTGCTGTCAAAAGGCATCTTAAACTAGTGGATTTTACACACACACAGTCCTGTTTCCATCACTTCAGAGGATGTTACACTGACTATGTTCATTTTGTGGAGACTTACACTAAGCTTAAACCAAATCTTCAGTCCACTTTTACATTTCCCTTTCAGCCCTGCTTCTTTAATCATTCATCTGCCACTTTTACGTTGTTTCGATCTCTATCCTCTTTTTCCTTTTTAGTCTTTTCAACTTTCTTTCACTTCCTGTCTTCTCTTTTTCATTCTGTACAGTCCTTTTCCCACTGCTCACAAAACCCATGTAAACTCGCGGCACCTCGGCTTTTGACGGCAGTGGGGATGTAACAAGTGGGACAAATGACTCTGCAATCGACACGGGTCGTTATCCGCTTTGCCTCAGCACAGCTCAGCTTGGAAACACGGGAAAACCAAACTCGACTAAACCCGCAAACATGCACAATGATGTGCACATCATTATCAGCATCTCAGCCATAGATTCCATCTGTTTTCATTCAATCAGTGCTCTAACACGGTTCAGTCTACACCAAGTGTCTATACTTTGGAAGATTAACAAAATTAAATATGTAGAATACCGGCGCACGTATTTGACATCACCAACATGATGATGTCAAATATGACTTACCAGAGGGGGAAAACAAACTCGTCTGCTAGAGGACCAAGCCAGGTCGGTTGGCAGTGAGAAAGCCGTCAGAAGCCAGTTAAAGGCCGGTTTAGCCGGGTATAAAATAAAAAAAAAACAGTCATGTATACACAGTACTTTTGATAGGAGCGCGGTATAACGTTCTGTTTTGTGCCTCCTCCCCTCTCCCCTTACTTTAAATGTGGCACAAGGTGAAGAGAAAGAAATCACAATGTTCCTTTGTTTTAAAAAGAAACCTCGTCCACAAACACTGTTGGAAAAAAAACTGGACCCACATGAAAATTCAAAAACATGCCATTAGAAGTACGTCAAGCCAACAGCCAGTGAAATAATCGTAACTGTTCAGACATGGCTGTTAATAGGAAGCTTAAAAATAGTTATTATTGGACCCACTGGCACGGGAGTCTGTGGAACAGATCAATGTGGGAGCATTGCCGAGTGTAGCGGTGACCACATAATGCATTCTGATGCCTCGGTTCCCCAGCGTAGCGGCCAAGTAACTGTAACTGTAAGCACATTAAAAGCCTGTTACACCCATCACCAGTTTAGCTTTATGTGCCACTGCACAATGTTGCCTGATAAACGTAAATAACGACACACACGCTCATGTCACAAGCCCAAAACTCTGTTTTCCCAATCCACACCTTTCAAAATATTTTCCAAAAGCTCAGTTTTCAGCAACCTAAAACACCGTATGGACAAAAGGCCAAAAGGTTTTTAAAGATACCCATGTAGGTGTGGAGAGAGGGTCTTACACACACCTTGATGAACATTGTGCGTCCTCTGGATCTTCTGTCTTCAGCCATATTCTACGGTGGCCCTGAGAGCTCAGTGCAGATGCAACTAGACAAAACCCAAGCAAATCAAAAGAACTTCACCAATTTGACAACACAGAGGCAGCATTTAGAAAAACACTGCTACTGCAACATGAGAAAATACACCCGAACTCAGAGACATGCTGTAAATACACAACACAACCAAATACAGAAATGCTACAGAAAGCACAAAAACAGCTCAAGTGTTTTTCTATTTGGCCGTGTTTTCTCACATTTTCTGAACCTGCGGTGCGCTGAGCGCTCAGGGCCACCGTCAAACTACTCACCACTGTTTTTCACCTTTACCTGTGACAGAATGGGAACTTTTCATTTTCTGTTGATAATTCATGTGCTCACTTCACAACTGGTTTGTAAATTCTGGTCTATTCCTAAATTTCCTGGAAGGAAACGTATGATTTGATACTAATTATCGGTCAAATTAGTGCGTGATCAGTCGGTACACTTCCAGATATTTCTAGATGGACAGAAGGTGAACTACACATGCAAAAATGTTAAATTTATCTACAAGCATCCAATTCAGCATAAATGAAAAGTCCAATTAAATATTAATTGGGGTTTTTACACAGTAACTTCTTAATGGAAATTTATCTGGAAGCCAATAATAAATAACTCAGGTAGGTAAAAAAAAACTTGGCTTGTTTTTTTTTGTAATTAATACCAAACTACGTGGTTTTTTTCCAGGAAGCTTAAACTATTAGGAAATAACGGACCTGTAAGTTACCCCCTTTTTTTTTTTTCCAAAAGCACCAAATAACTAACTGTGTTTACCAAGAGTATCCTAGAAACGTATGCTCTTCAGTGGTAACCGCAGAACACGTTAGCGGTGTGTAGTGGTGATTTGGAGAAAAAATAAATTGCATCTGATTGTAAAGTCTGTTCTAGTCATCCACCGTTTTGTTTTGCCATTTAGGACTGACTCATCTTTACATTAACTTTGTTTATGGGGGTAATTAAGTTTGTCTTTACACAGGCTATGTCGTACACGTGTATATACACTTGTTAAATCCTGTTTTTTTACCGTGTCTGGCTATAGACTCAAAAACATTTATGTAAAGATTAGTTTCATCCTACAGTAAAAGCTGTTTGATACATTAAAGTTTAGTACAGAAGAGAAATGGGACAAATGTTTCAAAAATAAGCTTTTTTTTTTAGATTTTTGTGGGAAAAAGTCAGACCTCAAATACTTTTTTTATACTATGGCCCTAATCATCTTACATAGTTTATATCAGTGCTACATGATTTGATTTGGGTCAATAAGTTCATATTTCATTTTACTTTTCACTCCCAGATGAGCATCTCATCTTGATTCAGATATCTTCCTCTCTCTCTTCTCACCTCTCTGCCTCCTCATCTCCTCCACCTTTTCCCCGTTTTCTCATCATTCCTGTCCTGTTTCTACAAGCTGATGTTTAGTAGGCCTTGCTGTTATTTTCAGTGTCTTGTGCGTGCTGTACGATGAAGGTGATAATGCTGAATCCTCTGTCTGCACTGAGAGAACAAATGTAAATACAGCAAATGTAAATAATCCAATAAAAAGGCTGCCACTTGTGCCCCTGGCTGAGGATGTTTGTGATCACAGACTACAATGTGAAAACTACATCTAATCTCTTCCATGAATATACCACTTTTTATGTTACTGAACTCATCTTCAGATCTCATCTGTTCTAGTCATCCACTGCTTATCTCAACTCCACAGGCTGATGCAGACCATTCTGTTTGGCATTTACCCATTTTACCTCGAAACCAACAAGTCCTCGATTGTTTTACCTCAAAACCAACACATCTGTGTTTTCGCACTCTGTAAATAAAGCTAATAGCTCACTGAGACGTGAACACATGGGCCACAGCTCAGCGAGCACCAACCATCTCCCCCCTGCACAGTCCTGGAACTTGATTCTGGTACTACTTCCTGTCCAGGTCGACTGACTCTAAAAACGGCTATACAGTGGCTCACAAAACCAACTGGAACCCACATCTTCTACACCTGTAAACGCTTACGCTTTTGAACTAGCAAATGTTTCTGTCTAAATGTGTTCGCTGAGCTTTTCATTACCAATTTGGAAAATGTGTAACACTTCTAATGAACCTTCCAATCTACCCCTCTTTTTGAGCCAAAATGCCTAAAGTGGCATAGTGAAGTTAAAATAGCAGTAGCTCCCGCGCGACACCAATTGTATGAAGAAGTAAAGCCTTGCCAGAAACAATTGGCAAAAAAACGTACATAGTGCAGCCTAGGAAAGTGCCTGTGGCTTCACACTCTCAGGTAAAGGACACTGTAGGCTTGTAAACAAAACAACGAGCGACTGCTTAAAAGTGATGAAGCCATCACAAACTATGACAATTCTGCAAAGTGTTTTTGGCTCTATGATATTCTGAATCAGTAAAACTTTGAAACTATTTTGGTTCAAAGTGGTGAAATATAGCTAATTTTAGTTTTTCAGTTACTTTGTGGTTTCATCCTTGTATGCATAATTGTAATGATAACATTTTCATTTGATTAAGTGGAGAAGACAAAGTGTGGCATAGTTGAATAATGAAACATGTACAATCCACACAAAACATAAATGTATAAAAGAGTTAAATGTGTCCTAGTACCACCCACCTCCCCATATCTCTAGAAAGCTACGTTTGACACAGGGCTCCAAAACACGCTTCCTCCATTTATGCCATATTTTAATAAATTCCCTCAAGACGTTCTTGATATGTTCACGAAAATGAAGGGATGGACAGCCCAAAAATAAATTATAAACAAATTATCCCACACTGTCCTGGAAACATTCAGTAGAAAGCCAACTGAACGTCTCCAAAAATTAACTCTCTCTTCCTGTATAAGTAACGTTTTCAATAAGCGCAGTGCCCAGACATTAGGAAACAACTTTTTGAGAAAGGAAACTACTTTGAACTGTTTTAAATATTTATGTCTGTGGTAGGAACCAATGTGCTTTGGCCTGAGTCCCACAGACAAGTTAGGGAAGTCAAAGTACACTGAGATGGCTTCTGGTGTTCATCCTTCCAATTTCTGGAAATTCACATTTCAGCAAACAGCTAAGACTAAATGTTTATATTAAGTCTGTGGTTTAGACACTAAATAAAAACACGGGACTTGATTCTTACAAGGCTTCATGCTAGAGTATTTGATACCCACTGTAATGAAATTGCATGATACTGCAGATTTATATATTTGTGTAAAAATAATACATAAAGTTGGCTGAGCAAGCATATTTGATTTAAGCATACTAAAGGAAAATCAAAAACTTGCTTACTTTTTTCACATTGCTACGAGCATCAATACCTGTATGGTTTTATATTAGTTCACTGTGCTGCCGTGCTCTGTGATGAAGTGATGAAGTGTTTAGGGCAAAATACCAAAACAAGGGCCAAACCAAGAAAGGATTAGCAGCTCACATGTGCACTTGAGGTGGTTTCCGTTTGCATGAAGTTTAGTTCCGTTAGCCTGGAGTTGAGCCGGGCTGAAGTCGACTGTTCAGCAGCGAGGGTTGCCCATTCGGCAGAAGCAGACAGTTCTGAAGAGCCGACACTGGCAGAAGGCACAGAAGTCACAACACACTTTGCCTGGAGATTTACAGCTTCCCCCCAAGGGAATGCAGTTAGCAGGAGGACGACGACGCGTCTTCACACCAAGTTTGTTCTGAGGGGAAAATAAACACAGAGCAGCAATAAGCTCATACTGCTGGAGAGGTTTGCTGCTGAAGCCAGAAGAAGAAAGCATTTATATTTTCAGCCAAAATGCTTGTAAGGCCAGATTAACAATATTTTTTTGAGCATGAAAGTTCACTCAGGACTTTCAATTGCACCTTTTAGTCATATATGTAGGACTGGAGATGGGCTTGATTGGTCAATTTGACTCTGAATCACCAGACCTAATCCACATTCATCATCCCAGGGTGCGTCTCAACAACCATGTGTTTTTATTACGCTTGCTTTAAAAGCTATTGGTGAAGCACAAAAGTAAATGGCAGCTCCATGATTCACTGGCAGGAGGATCAAAACTTCAGAAGACATTTATGACCCTGCATCCCTTGATCACATGCCACAACATTAAACCAACAGAAAGCACTGTACTGGTAAATTACATATTGTTGTCATAACAACAGACCCGTCAGTATATAGGAATATACAATATAAAGTCAAACCGGTATAAGACTGATCTACACTTCTCAGCCTGATTTGAATCCTTGTAGCTTCAGCTTTACGTTTCTGTCATCAACATGTGCTTTTCTATCTTCAAATACTGACCTAAAGACTAAGACTGGTGACGTTCCTGGTCAGAGGAGAACCCATCTTCCCCTTCTCAGGGTGGACCGTGGCCTTCTTCAGCACAGAGAGGAATCTTGTAAAAGTTGTGTTATTTATGATATAACTATAAACTATCTCAGGACAAGTGTTTAAATTAGTTATGTGCACTAATACCAATTAATATTGCCCAATTTCATAACCATACTACTTTCCCAACACACTAGCATGTGGATTTGTTTCTGGTGTGCATTACCTAATAATGTTGCAATAAATACACCTTAAAAGTTAAAAACTTTTGGTCTCACCTTTTTTGACTTCTTTAGTTTCTTGTTCTTCACTGAGTCAGACAATTCTAAAAACAACAGAAAATAAAGATACCTCTAGAAATTCACAATAAAAAAAAAGTGAAGCCAAAGGCAGAAACTCAACCTTCATGAATAAAATAAAAATACTGAAGTATAAACTTGCAAACGTACCCTCAATAACCACAGGAGGTGAGTCTGTATCTAGGCTTCGAGACAAAGCGTTAGATACAACTTCCCTGTTGGTGGAGAGTCTCTCGTCAGGGACCATGTGGGCAGAGCCAAGGCAGCACTGTGCGGCGAGGACGCAGCAGCCAAGCAGCAGGAAGGCTTGCATGTTCTGTGGAGCAAAGGTAACAACAGTATATACATGTTAATGTTCAGTTTGGCAACTAGAGGTCCAATTATCATATCGGTACGACACTTGGTCTCTGGGGGGAAATGACTTTCTACCCAGAGGAAAGATCTTCTTGTCACTGTGTTTTATGTTGTTTGACTTGCATTTAAAAAGCCTCAGTTCAACCTCAGACATGTGGAGTTCAAAGGCATCTGACTAAATACAGAAAAGAGGATTAAAAGGAAAGGCTTTAACTACCCCCTAAACACAAAAACATGTTTTCTTTTTGTTTCTATGCCCTAAAATGTTCTGTGCAGAAAAAAGGTCTAGACCTTACTTTGTAAAGTGTCCTGAGATGACTTTTGTTGTGATTTGGCGCTATACAAATAAAATCTGATTTGATTTGATTAGATCAGAGTTCTGAGGGACAACTCCAATAAACCATCACATTTCTGACTGAAATCCGTCTCTGTATCTACGACGCATCAGCATTACAGTCCATTACTGTTTTAATTTGACCTTTGTAACATACAATTCTGCTGTTGTTTCACTCTTAAATCCTCAATTATTCTAATACTATCTTTATTCTGTCTGCAGACAGAGATAGTGGGGCACACAATGTCACGATTATTAAGTTTCCAATTAATTTTAACTGCTATCATTAGAAATTATACTTATAACTTTTACTGGAAATGCAGGGGTTTGTCCTGATAAGTAACTCATGCATTCTAAGATGGTTTTAAATATCCTACAGCATTTTCTGTGAAACCTTTGGCTGCAGTTAAACAGGTTATAGGTCAAATCATTTTTATCATTTGATTAAAGAAAAAAAATTCTATTTCAATGCAATGATGTTCTGTAATACATGTAAAGTACAGTCTTCATATAAACAATAAACGAACAGTTTTTCAGGGCAGCAGCTTTGTTTTCATTTGACTTCGTTGCTTACTGTTCCAAAGCAGTAAGCATTTTATCTGATCACAAACCTGCTGCTGCACCAGAACAACATGCTGTCACTTCTCAAGCTTTACCGACTCCTGCAGATTGATTTTTAACAGCTTCTTCTCGCTTCCCTTCTGTTTGTTCCTTTTGACTGGACTGCTGATCACGCAGGCGGCCGACGGAGCCCTGACAGCTTCAACTCAAACGGAATCATGAAAATTAGGCCCATGTGTTCTGATACTGTCACTGTACGTGTTGCACTAAAGACGTGCAAATTAAATGACTTCAAATGGCCTTTACAGCAGAGGTTGTTTATATTAACCGTTACTATACAGTTCGATCGGCCTTGTTCTGGTCTTTTCTCAGTGACTAAGCATAAGTGTGCCAAACACTCTGAAGTCACAGAATCAGCCCAAACACTGGACACACTGAACCAAACTATACCCTTCACTTTATCACTGCCCGATCTGTTTTCCATCGCCGGGCCTGTGTAACGTGCATGACTCCCACTGCACTTTACAGGCCACAGCTGCACACAGAACAATTAGTTTGAGAAATGTTCACATCACAGAAAATGAGCTGCATGATTAAGTAGTGAGGACCAAATGTCTGATACATGCTCAGATGTCTCCATGCTGTGCATGTTGGACTGCCCGTGGTGCTTTTCCATTGTGCAAACGATTTCCTTACATTGCTTGAAAAAAGTCAAGACAGGCTCAAAATTTCTATTTGTCTTACCTGCGTTTCCTGGACCAGCTCTGTCGTGTTTCTTACTCCCTCTCACTACACGTCTTTATTACTCTGCCTCTTTGGTCGACAAGTCACCACTCTCCTTCCCTTTGGCCTCACTTCACCTCTGACTTGATCAGTTTGTTCTCGTCCCCGTTGTCTGTTCCTCTCCCTTCTCCAAACTCTCCTCCACTTCTTTTAATGCTACTTCAGTAGTACAACGTTTGCCTGCTGCTGGTAGTGAAGACATACTGGGAGGTTTGTACTGGAGGCGGGTTTAGTGCTGCAGTGAGTTGAGGGATGGGAAAAGGTCAAATCATGCACAGGATGGACAGATAAACATGAACTAGACTCTTCTGTAAAGTGTTACAGCTGTAGCTGTGTGCTATATGAGAAGCTGCTGCTCTTTCTAGTGATGTGCAAGAATAGAGCTGAGCTAAAAGAGCACTGTTCACTGAACACAAACCTTTACTGTACATGTTTTACAGCTCATTTGCATTTTGAACTGGTGCCGTTATGTCAATTCAATTTATCTACTCCCACTTGTTATAATAAACCAATTATCACAATAAGATTATTATTCCTACACAAAAGAATATGATGTTATTTATCCCTATGCTTTTGAAACTACAAGACAACAGTAAGATGGGTATCAAAGCTCTTTACAAGGTGCCTTTGTGATTAATAGGTGATCAGATGTGGCCCCTGAGCCACAGCTCGAGTGAGTCAGGGGTCTCCAGGGTCAAAGGTTACTTGGCACTTAGGAGCACATGTGCAGCATCTAAAAATCTGTCCTCGGTTTATAGAGATAATAGCCAGATGTACTCAAAGATCTACTCTGTGTAAACCTACAGTCTCTTGAGCTTTGATTTTTATTTTATTTATTTGGGACATGGATCAAAGCTGAACAGCTTTTGTTTCTGCATCCACTTAGGAATAATTGCATTTTGGAATTTTGGAATAAAGCTCCCCATGTGGCCACCAGTTGTTCTTTTATTTCTAAACAGAGAACGACCCTGTGAAACGTGACTTAAACTGTGAAATGTAAGAAATGAAAATAAATTGTAAAGTGAGATATCTACGTATTTTAATTTTCTGGCTTGCATGAGATTATCTGGAGTCCCAGTGGGATTTCGTTGCTTCATATAAGACAACATTCAAGAGGTTAACTATAATATGTACAAAAAGAAGAGTCTACAGCCGTGTCAGCAGCTCTGTGAGCCAGAAGCCATTGTTCAGCATCATCATCATCATCACCAAACTTGATTCTTCTACTTAACTATTAGATTACAGTTGCTAAATGATTATATGAATGAATTAACAATATAAAATGTGACCATCCTGCCCGCTCAGTCTACGTGAACTCCTCAAAGAAGCTCATTGCTCTGAGTTTGCTGCCCACGGTAATGCGGCCTAATAACACTCTTTTTCTAACACGGGCTTCAAATGTGCAATTCACAGTCATTGGGTCTAATAGTTGACGGCAAAATAGAGTGAAAATGAAAACCACGTTGGTGTGTGTAGAAGAAAGTCCACAAAACTACAACCACAAGGAAAAGTCACGCAACACAAATAAGCTGTGGGCACAGTGTAGTCTGGTACAAGAACGCTGCTAATCCGAGAACTCAGAAAAACTTCATACTTGAAAAGAGCTTAATAAAATATAACCTTGGAAACTCTCTCTCTCTCTCTCTCTTCAGGTTGAGTGGAGTACATTTTTTCTTAGGCTTTGATTCACACGTCAATAAATTATTGCTTCATAAAAAAAATGTTTTGTTCTAAGTTATTAATTTTGCAGTTCTCCACACGTGCTGCTTAATTCACAGGCTGAAGCTGATGGAAAACAAAAAGTTATATATATTGAACAATGTGTCCATCCCTGTTACTTCAGAAAAGAGATGGACCGTTAAGTTTTTTTTTAAAAAACATATGAACATATTTTTCTTCAAATGAATGATAAATGAAATAGTTGCTGTGACAGAGAAAACTACGTTGGCTGCTGCTTTGCTATACCCTACTTCTACCATTTGTATGAGCTTTTTAAATAAGTTTACTTTACTAAATGGAGCTCAGGTGTCTCCTGACTGTCCCCGTGGAGGAGTTGGGCTGTGACAATGAAGTAAACCTGCTTAATTTCCTCAACTTTTTTTACCTTCCAAATATATTTCAACAGCTACTGCCATCCACGATTTATCCATGAATCACTGTTACAGTGAGTTTTCATCACTCAGCGTGGGCTCAGCTTTCATATGACGACACCCCGCTGTAACAGCAAAGCTTCCTCCCCACAATAAAGAATATAAAACAGGTGCAGTGATTCTGCAGCCTGCAGAAGAAAGAGCAGCTCACCACAGGATGACAGCGGACTTGCCTTAGACACAACAAGCGAACGGGTTTGGCTCAGCTCAGGCTAAATACAAAGTGATGACATACAGACGAGTGGCTAAAGGAAAAAACTGAATAAGATGAGAGGAGAATCATACAAATGCAGAAGACATGGTTTGGTTCCACTTGTCACCTCAGAGGGAACAGTGGCTGCACAACAGTTGTTCTGAGTGATGAAGCGTTTCTATTCTGATTAGAGGGGTCTGTTCCAGGATGACAGCACCGCCGTCCATAAGGCACATCAGTCCAGTATCTCCTATAGATAGAGAGATGTTCAAATGGACTGAGATCTGGTGACTGTGAAGGCCACAACATATGATTCACATCATTTTCCTACTCAAACCGTTTAGTGACCCCTCGTGTCCTAAGGGTGGGAGCGCTGTCATCCTGGAGGAAACCATCCATAGTTTTAGTATCATTTGTCACACATCTGTATACAGTATGATGCCACATTCATTTTATAGATAGAGATAGAGGAGTTCAGTCTGCAGGTTCATCAGGTCAGGGTGGGCTCCCTCTCATTAACTGCTGGTCCCAGAACAGCGGCCAAGCTCAGCACAACCCTCAGAACTAAGATATAATCATTTCTGTTGACCACCAGGTAACATCATCAGCTAATAACAACAAGCTACCAACATGCAAAGCTACACAGCATGAAGCTTTCACTAGCAGCTGGATCCAACAAACAAATGATCACCTCACCTTGGAAAAACACAATACACACTGTTTTCAGTGTCACCAGCTAACAAACATCAGATAAACAACACACAACAGCAACAAAACTGTGTGGAACTAATTTAAATAATTAGCTGCTAAATCCACCAAGAAAACCAAACCTCTTCAGTTATGGCACAACACAAAACTAAACAGCACAACATACTTGCTTGTATCAACAAGTTTCAGATTCAGCACTCACCTTTCTCTGCTGAAGCTCTTCACCTTTCTTGTTCCTCACAACTGAACAGGAAGTGGGTGCACTGTCAGCCATGATTTTTTTATCACATGTTCTAGGCTCCACCCTCCAACACCAGTCCAGGTAAATGAAAGGTGAAAGGTCAGGAGTGTTCTTGAGAGAAAACGGATTATTAAACAATTTAAAGTAAATGATTAGCATTAGTCTTTGTTTTACTACTGAGCAGCATAATAGACTGTTGTAATGCACAATGTTTGATGTCACTTGACAGTCAACAAAAAGGAGAAGCATATTTGATCACAAGAAGTCCTCCGATATGGAGCTTAATGTTTTTAAATGAGAGGTTCCTCATTGTCACAAAACATCTGTGAGGCACTTTTACTGAAACTGAACTGGTTATCTGCAAATCCCCTGTTATGAGCTAGTGTTCTGTCCTGTTCTCATCTCAAACAGCCACTTAAAGATTTGTTAGAACAAGACGAACGTTTGTTAACAGAAGAAACTTTCTAACTCAGCTAGCTTGTAAGGTACCACAGTGAATGGTGTGATGGGAATCGAGTGTTTACTCTGTGGTTACTTGTAGTTCCATATTTGCTGATATTAAAACAGCGATCACATGGTTAAGATGTCCTCAGCTGTCTGTCTCTGACTGCTCCGTTACAGTCATTGATTTCAGTCCTGTTGACTGTCATTATATCACGGCACTGGGCAGTTTTGATTTGCTGACCAGTTTGTGGCGGGCGGTGATTCAGAGGGCTGGAGTCAGACTGAAGAAAAGCCTCGGTGTGGTTTGGTGTGTTGTAAGAATAACAGATGCTACAGCCACACATGCTTCTAGTTTAGCCTTAAATGGCATTTTCTCTCCTTTTATCTTCTGTGCCAGTTTGATTGGTACGGAGTGTCACTGGTTTTATTTGTCTCCTTCTGGAGTGTCTCACTTTGTTGATGTGAAAAATCCAACAGGAACATAATTCATTGTATGGCTTCATTAAAAACAACTCCAAAGACGTCAGGATTATACTGATGGAAACCAGGTCAGTACTACAGCTGCAAAAATTGAAGTAAGTGGAAAAATCTCTTGAGCTTCGGTGCTGGTCTGTGCAGCCATGCGGCTGTTGTTATTTATTACCTCAACCTCAGTTGAGTTGACATGCATCAAAGTGTTTAGATGGCAGAACATTGCAGCCTCTCAGGCTGAGGAGCTTGAACTTGGTGCACCCACAAGCAAACAACAAAGCACAATGGACCAAGATGTGCTTTTGATTAGAAACAAGGTCAGTCTGTGTCTAACCAAGTTAACATCTGTTGGTTTATTTATACCTAATGTTACCACATTAACTAAAGCTTCCTGTGGAGATTTAATAACCCGAGTCGAACTGGTGGATCTTAGCTGATGGTCTGACAGCTGTGGTGGACATCAGGGTTTCAGGCTGTGTTTTCTAGCAGAGGTGCCCAGTAAATGGTCTTATACTTGTATAGCGCTTTTCTATGCACTGCAGAACACCCAAAGTGCTTTCACATTATTTGGCCATTCACCCGTTCAAACTCCCAAGCACTCACACACTGGTGTCGTCACCGGGAGCAGCTAGGGCTTCAGTGTCTTGCTCAAGGACACTTCGACATGTGGACTGGACAAAAAATTCTAGCTTCCAAGACTTTCCACATATTTGGATCCATGCATAGGAGTTTTTGTCTCTGTTCAGTGCCACCTGGGAACCTTTCTTGTTTGCCATATTATGCCTCTCTCTACATCATCCCATGCTTCCTCTCCTACAGCATCAATACGGTTGATAACAAATAAGAAGGTAAAGCGCTCCCACAGAGGATACTTAGAAATATATATAAATGACAAAAGAATGAGGACTGACAGCCACAACACAAATGGCCACGGAAAGACATTTCTTTGTGGATGACAAAGGGGCTATTAAATGCATGTAAAAAAAAAAAAATTTTTCTATATAGAGAATTGGTGAAATA